ATGGCTATCGTTGACTTTGAAGTTTGTTTGTTTTTTTACTCAGAAAATGTTGTGGCAGGAATAACATGGCGACGTCCCTGTGTCAATATACTGTATTTTTTAATAAATAAAAACTAAACAGGTTACGGTATTTTTACAGCATTTTTTAAATAGTTGAAATAAATGTTTATCAAATAATTTCTAAGGTTACAACTATTGGAGTTGCCTGTAAGGGCAGAACGCATGAGGAGTATGACACCCGTCTATAATTACACCATTATTTTCAAGTATGACACCGACCCTGACAGCAGCAGGACGCCAACAGACGTTCTGTGTCACATTTTTTAGCAATAATTCTCCACAGTGTTATATTTTTAAGCGCCACTGCTCCTTCACAAAATATCTATGTATGTAAAAAAAATTTCACTTGGACATTAGAGCACCTCCTCCAAAATCTGTTTTTTTGATATTAATTAATTTATTTATTTTTGTTTGGCTGCAGAACCACTTCATATCAAAAGAACAGATGAGGAAAGATTTATTTTTGATTCCGTTGCAATTGTTGCTGAAGAAAAACACCAAATAGTAATAAGAGTGCTTCGACGCTCAGTTATGGGTGTCCTTAATCAGGACCTAACACTGATAGGGACACACACAATGGGGAGGGGGGGGGGCATCAGGGAAAGTCAAGCTGCCTTTCAAACGGCTGAGTGCTGCAGCGTCACACAGCCAGGTCTCCAGCTGTCACAGCTCTGTGAAACGCAGGAAAACAAAAAGCGGCGGCACGTCGCCGTTCGTACAACCTGATGGATAAAAAGGTCAGAAAATGATCCGTCATTGGCATAATTACATCCGCTGAAGTTGTGCACCGGCGGCTCGGCGATCCTCAGATTGCTTTTCACACTTCATTCATCCTGTGATAGAAAGGTAATCCCGAAGACACAGAAGTTTATCGGCGCAGCTCGTGGTGGAAATTGGAAGTTGAAAAGAGGAAGAAATGGGAGGTCAGGGTGAAACCAAGGTGACAACAAATAAAAACATGTGGCCAGGAGAAAACATAAATAAGAGCAGTAAGAATAAAAACAGTTATAAAGCTGATGCAAAAAAAGATTAAAATTTTAATCAAACAAAACAGAGGAATGTCCGATCTCTGGCAAATTGAATCCATAGGGATTTTTGAGCGTGCGCACACAGCCACATGTGTGTGACAGGCAGCATCTCAACAATAAATCAAATCTTTCTGTCATCTTACTTTTCTTGTCAAACCGTCCTCGTTTAAGGCTTTTACTGTAATGGCTTGTCAAACCAGAGCCTTTTAAACGTTATTATTCAAATGTAGTCGATCTAATGTCTGGTTGTTTGTTTTATAATGTACCGTTATGGCTGTCATTGTGCAATGTTTCATCTTTTTGACTTGTTTAAAAAAAAGGGCCTAAAGCCGTCCGAACAAGTTAATAATGGTCTGAGTGGAAACACTTCAGTGTTGTGATACACAAACCAACATAAAAGGGCCTCCACAGGCTAACTATTAGCATAACATAGAGGAAGACATCTGCCCTCTTCTTCCTACTCCACAATTTTTACAAGTACTTGGTTAGTATACAATGTCCTGATACTTGGGAGCAATACCAAACTTTTAACAAGTACTTGAAAAAATGCTAGTATCTATCCTATCACTAGCTGCGTTTCCATTGACCATGAAAAAGCGCAAATTAGAATTTCGAAAATAAATTTGCTCAATTGAAACACGTCAGTTTCGGGAAAAAAAATTACATTTTTCGACAAAACGTTTTTGCTCTAGGATGAAGTGGTATTTCGGCTGTATCGAAATTGGTGTATTTTGCAAAACTGCAATGGAAACACTTTTTTTCGCATCACGGGAGTCATGTGATCAACAACCGGCTGTTTCTACTGGCGAAAAGACGACGATGAAGAAGATAACAGGAAGTAGAAATAGTAGTAATATCAAAGAAGTAGTAAAAGAAAGTGGTAAACTCACCGACTACAACTTCCCAAAAACACAGCATACGTAGTCACTCCCAAGTAGGGGCTTGTCGCTGGAAGCTTCGATAAAAGACGCCGACGTCTCCTCTGATGATGAGCGCTAGTGTCATGGTAGCAACATGCTATGTGTTTACATCCATTGCCGCCATGTTTGTAATGACTTATCGCGAGAACAAACGTATTCACGCGTGACTTTAATAACATTTCTTACTTCATGGAAACACTGCAGTTGCGAAACTGTGTTTTTTTCGACATTAACAGAATATCGACAAAGTTTTGCGCACATTTGCAATGGAAACGCAGCTAATGTGTCCATGCTTGGGACAGAATATAATTTTTACAGGTACTTGTACAAAACGCCCTAACTACTACTCAACCCCTACTCAATACCAATACCAGTATTTTTACAAATACTCACACAAAATGCCCCGATACTTAGCACAGACACTAACATTTTTACTTACTATACGAAATGCCCCGAGATTCTGGACTGATACCAGCATTTTTAAAAGTACTCGTACAAAATGCCCTAATATTTGTGACTGATACCAGAATTTTTACAAGTACTCATACCCGTATGAAATGTACTTGGGAACAATACCAATATTTTTATAATAACTTCCACAAAATGCCCCGATACTTGGAACTGACACAAGTATTTTTTACCAGTACTTGTACAAAATGCCCCAATTCTCAGGATCAATACCAATACTAGTGTCAGTACCAGTACCTAGTATCAATACTAGGTTGAATGTTTAAATTTTAAATTTAAAAAATTAAATTTAAAATTCCAAGGCAGAAGTTTGTCAGTTCAGTGTTTGACATTTATACAAATTGAAAGAAAATCTTAGTATTTTGATGCAGTCAGAGGGGCTGTAGGCCTATAAGGAAGGAGAGCCACTTGATCTAAATAAACGAAAAAAAAAGTGTTTTTTAAAATTGTGTAATGTTTAGGTTGTAACTCAGTAAGTACTCTGTACTGGCGCGTACCCAAACTGAAGTACATTTTGAGAAGAAATGGTATCGAGGCAATGTTTTAAGACATTTAGGAAACTACGTTTTTTGTTCTGATCGGTCTGAGCCCAGTGAGATACTGGTCTAAAACTTCCTCTGTCCAAACTGGGGCAGATCCACAAAACAAACGGTTTCCACAGAACCTCCGTTCTAAATGTGTGGAAATGTCACTTTAAGTTGAACTTCTGCTGGCAGGGACCTCAGGTTAGGAGTAAAAAGAGCAACAACTTATCTTGACAGCGTGATGGGATAAAAGAACAGAGCTGGAGTTGCTTGTGTGCGTTGTGACTAATGTTCAGGCCAGAGGGAAGGAGGGTGGGTGGTGGTGTGTGTGTGTGTGTGGG